TATTAGCCCAATGCTGAAGAAGAAAATCAGAGAACCTCGAAAGACAACTTATTATATTATGGCGTCTCATCGTGGGAATGTAGGAATCAGACTTGTAGCACTATAACATAACAATATATTTTTTTATTTTGTATGATTGTTATTTGTAATAACACCCACTGGACAAAACAAAACAACATTATTAAGTAACCGACATCATACGCAACCTAACTAAAAAACATATTCGCCTCCCCGTCCTTGCCCCTTTTCTCATCAACCCAAAAAACGCGCGAAAATAGTAATAATTTTACTAAAGCTGGGTATCTTGCTTCCAAAAGAAGGACTAACACGCCCATTATTTTTATCTTGCAAGACGAAAACGAAACAAGAAAGTTACTTTATGCCTCTCCAAAACAACCTACGCCTCCTTGACAGTGATTTCTTCTTGCTTTTTTTTTAACCTATGGAGAGAAACCAAGGACGTTACTAGAGATTATATTATATGTATAATGTCCCCCAAGAGAAACCCATCTGTCCTTCACCATGGCACGTCTGTTGAATCTGAAAGCTGTGACAGTGACAGGAGATCTGTAAAGGGTTCTCTAGGCTATCATGGGGAAGTTGTTCTTTTTTCAGAGATCTTAGCCTACTTAAATAATAAACACAACAGAGATAGACAATTGGTAGCTCTTACTGTTGACTGATAGGCTAGGCTTAAACGTGGAAAATAAAACGGTAAACCAATAAAACATATGTTACTCCTTAGATCTAGATCTATCTCTTTTTTTTTTTAAAGACTAGCGCGAGTCTGTTGGGGGCCTTCTGCACTGCTGTGCCGCTTCTGAGTTCTCAGTTCTCAGGCAGCAGGCAGAGTAGACAGAGGAGAGCGGCTGAGCGTGCGAAGTTCATGTTTTAAAAAACGTTTTAAAATTTTGATTCTAAATCTGCTGCATAGATTTACGAAACGAAATAAGTTCTAGATTAGAAAAAAATTCGGAGGCCTTTATTAGCAGTCATTCAGCAGGGGAGCAGCACCAAGACTTTCAAGAGATTGAAGAGTCTAACACTACGCCTTTAGGCCTGGTAAAGGTTTTTAAGTCTAATATTGGTATGATTTGCTAGGCCTATGCTTTGTTACTTGTATTTTCTCGTCTTCAGCCCTATGCCTATTCAAGCTATTGGTTGGTCTTTTCTAGATTCTAGAGTATCAACAGTTCACTGAACAGCCATCAAGTCCAAACGTATTCCTGACGTTGTAGATCGAAATGAAAATAATAAATGTCATATAAAGATCTAGAAATCTAGATCTAGATTAGAGATAGATCTAGATCTAGGTCTAGATTTAGAATCTAGATAGATCAAGTATGAATAGGGCCTAGACGTATAGTTTTTTTTAAAGGCCAGCTCTATTGCTCCGAAAGCTCGGGAAAATAAACTTGAAATCTATTCTATTCTATTTCTCCAAAGGCTCGGTAAAATAAAGCCTGGGGCATGGGGGAAAGGCGGAAAAAGGAAATGGGACACACACACACACACACACACACACACACACAGAGAGAGAGAGAGAGAGAGAGAGAGAGAGAGGGAGAGGGGGGGGGGGGGGGGGGAGAAACAAAAAAAAAGTGTGCGCACACTCACACACAGGCATGTGCGCACACACAGACACGCACTTGCCAAGCAGGCCCGCCACGGTGAGATCAGAGACAGTGTATGTTTACGTAATATTGTCTCTGGTGAGATCTAGTCAACTGGCGAGGGAAGCCCTGGAAGATGACAAAATAGATGGCGTAAATACGTCCTGTATTTGGGCCAATCACAGAGATGTGCTAGGTGCTCGCTGTAGCTTCATGCAGTGTCGGGAAATTGTGTAATTCCTAGATCTACAACCGATCAGGCGCCATGGTGGATCAAAGGCTGTCTCTGGCAGCTTTTACTTCTTTCTCTCTGTCTTTGCTGGTTC